CAGCTCTCAAGGCTGCAGTTAGGGAATGATCATTTTTATATACCATCAACTCCTGTAAAATCTTAGATACCATTAAAAATATCTCATATTTTGCCTATACTTTTGGAATGGAAATGTTTTAAATTCATGTTAGTCTTAGAGCATTAAGGTAAAAGGAAAAGAGACTTTATTTAAATTTAATTAATGAATTGTTAACTCTGAAACCTAATGATGCCATTAAACTTACACTATCCTTTTTATGTAATATGTTATCCTTTTTGCTGAGTCATCTAGATACTTTAGTATCTGTTCTTTAATAATTCATTTCAGTCTTCCAGGAGCTGTGAAAGACAATGTCTTCCTTGCCTTCAGGAATGCAGTGAGACAAAAGCTTTTATTGAGACCTTTTTGGGAGTCCCCATTTTACATGGCCAAGTAGAAAACCTCACTTTTCAGGACAATGCAAGCTGAAAATATACAGATTTCAGCAAAGAATAGCAGAATATAGCTTCTATTTTATGCTTGTTTCATCTTTCAGGATTGTGTTTAACAAAGGTTGGTCATCTTTCAGATTTACTGTGCCTTTCATTAATGAATATATTAGTAGCTCATAAAGAATCTTTCCCATGCCCAGGACACATTGAATGCAAACAAACAAGCAGTAGACGTGCCATTACTTTTGAGAGGTGTCGTGAACTCTACCTGCTCTAAATACAAGTTGAGATCTGGCCTCTTGCAAGAGTCCAGTCAGTGACACAAAGCGGCTTTTGGTCACTGAGCTCATCTGTGGAGCCTCTACAATATGTGCTCTATGATCAAACTTGCTGGATTGTAGAAAGCAAGTATAGAGAGCAACTTTAGAAGACATCTCACAGTTATACACGCAGGGAGAGAAATAAAGGTCGGATCTGGTGAAAGGGGAGAGGCAACAATGGAGAACTGAGATTGATTTTTGAAAAGAACATGACACAACTGGGCTAATTATAAGCACATCACAGAATGATGGCAAGTGTTAATGCCCAAATCATCCTTATTTAATTCCAAAGAAACAACCCATCTGTACAACTCAAGAAAGCCCCAAACAAATACAGAATGTTTAAGGATTCTGCTTTAGCAAAAATAATAAGAAAAAGGGATTGATGTGAAAAAGAGTTGAACCGAGTTGCAACAGCACTGGAAGAAAAGCTAAAGAAAGAAACAGAAGAGCAGGAGGTGTCAGATCATTTGTGATTTGGTTGTACACTCCACGACGAGTAGCAAAAACATTTATTTTTTTTTTTAAATTTGTTTTTGATTGCATATCACACAAAATATTCTCTTGAATTAATGAGGATATTTAGAGTCAGGGGCTGATGCTCAACCCAGGGTGAAGAGGGAGTGTCATTCCCTTACTGTGCTCATCCTTGACCTTGTAGTCTCTGCATTGCTGATAAGCAATTCTAAGAGCTGCCAGTAGTGCTGGTGACTTAACTGAGCTGTACGGGGGAGGAGAGACAGTGATGTGCTGTTCTGCTGCCTTTTTACTCCTGACACACCCCATATGCTGAGATGGTGGGTGGCAGTAGGAGTGCTGGCACATTAGCAGCAGTGCATTCCCTGTGCCAGGGGAATAATCTGTTGACTAGTTAAATCTTATTTCTAATTCATTTCTACTTCTGAATAGCACTAAGAGGTGAGGTCTTCATGGAAAATTCAGCTCTTGCAGTGTGTGACAGTGCAGTCTAGAGGACAATATGAAGCTTGTGCCTTGAAGCTCTATTTTGAATATTGATTTTAATATGTTTTTAAAAAAAAACCAAACCAAACTCTAAACTATCTAAAGCTTGAGCGCATTATTCTTATGGAAATAATGCAATTGTTCTGCCTTTGTTAGGTTTTTGGGTACATTGGAACATTCACTATACCAGAAGATTCAAGTAGGCAAATCAAAGCAGAAACAAAAAAAATTCTTATTTTCTCTGTTAATAACATTGCTTGTTAAACAGAAGTTGGCATACAATCCCACTGTGAAATTGCCAAGAAAAGATTGTTAATTTGGCATAACCTTTAAATTGTTTCATTCAATATCATATGAAAATAAGTAGAATTATATGTGTTTTTGTGGTTTGTATTGCTAGTGAAAAGGAAGACTTATATCCCAAGGAAAATAGGTGTGCACCATCAGGGGGAGTTCATGTTCATCTGACAACTGCAGCACTTGGCAAACAAATACAGTAAACTTGGAGGCAAGCAGCAGAGAAAATATCCTGCAATGTTTTGCTGAAAGAAGCAAAATAGAGCAGAATCAATCATCTTTTCAATGAGAGTTTAAGGTGACTTGGGCCTTGCTCTTACCTGTGCAGAGGACTTGTATACCCTTCTCTTACTGTGAGTAGAAGACTTCTCTTCCAGCAGGTTGGTACAGTTTATAACTAAGACCTCCATCTCCTGGGTCTTACTACCCTCAGTAGAGTTACAGAGGATGCCGAAAAGGGAGCAGTCCTCGTGGCTTTTGGGCAATTGTGTCTGTTCCTTACGCACCAACCTCTATGTGATGATTTTACAGGGTAGCCCAAGAAAGCTGCAAAACAGGGTGAAAAAAGACCCTTGAACAACATAGTTATTACTTGACCTTTTTGCCTTGTAATTCTGCAAGTATCCAGAGGTATTTGGTGTTACTTTTTTTTTCTACCTAAAAAGCTAAATTTGTGTTTCTTTCTATCTCTGTTCCTATGGATGACAGGGACCTCCACTGGCAACAGTTTCTGCTCAGTTCAGCTTAGATGTGTACAAAGCTGATTCTTTACACCTAGCTTTTATATGAGGGCTCAAATCGGAGTAATATCATGAAGTATGCGGAATAAAATCCTGATTCCACTGAATTCAGTTTAGTTTCCACTGTTGATTTCCCTTGGACCAGTATTTTAACTCAAGTTTGCAGGAGATAGGATGTTTTTTTTGCAATGGATTCCTGGTGCTGAAGTCTCTTTCTTTACATCTGGAATAAGGCTATAGATAGCACAGCACTATAGCAGAATTCAAGGGATAGCAAAACCAAAAGCAGTTTGAGAGGATAAGGGCAACGCAGTAGAATGTAGATTGGTAAGGTGGTCTAACACTTTAGCTCCTCTTTGCTCCTCCCATAGCTCCTCTTTGCCAGAAGCCACTGCAATTTTGACAAGGGTAGCAGAAGCGAAAATGTTACTGCACCTAAATTATTTTTTAGTTCACTGTCAAACACATTAGTTCGAAACTAAAAATCCTCCACTGTTAATGAAGCAGGGCAGCTGCAGAACAAATTTTTCTTTTGCACAAGTGTGACAACTTCTGGTGGGGAAGCAGAGAGGACAATTTGAAATGTTAGTTTCCCAAACCACTCCAAAAGGATTTGTTAAAGGATGTGTGTCAGAGCCAGGAAGTCTCCTTGTAAAAGCCATTATTTTGTACAAGGGGAAAATTGTGTTGGTGTAAGAATTGTTACTATTTTATTATGTATTTGAAAAGAAAGGATAGTGAAGTCTTGTTTCAGGTAAAGAGAAATCACGCGTTTGTACACAAAGAGTTCTGCAGATACAAAGAAGTACTAAGTAGTTTTGATTAATATTGAAATAATTTTTGAAGGGAAAAAGAAAAAAATAGGTATAGCAAAGGAAGAAGGTATTTTTGAACCTAATTCTATGCATTGATGGTTAGGATGGTTTTGGTAGTTTTTTGCTGACTAGCATATGTATTATCCAGGCTAGAAATAAAAAGTCAGATAATAGAATTGTTTTGGAGAGATTTCTACTTCCCTTTCTGCCCCTTGGTGGATTTGTGTGGATTTTGCTGAAATTCACTAATGGCTTTGTTTTGTTCATTACCTTGTTCTGTGCTACACAGAGAGACAGCGGTTAGTTATCAGGCATGGGGACTGAAGGGGAAGATGAAGATAGCCTTCTTGTTCCATAAGAACTGGGAGGTGAAGCAGCAAAGAAGACAGGAAGACTGATTCAGGAAGATAACACAGCAGCTTACAACATGGAGGACAAGAGAGATCCTTAAAGGCAAAAGAACTGACAAAATTTCACAGCAGGCACTAGTGGGATTTGAGAATCCAAGGGAAACATCATGCCATGTGAGAAACAAGGTTTCATTGATCACAACATGCCATGTTGTTTCCATGATAGCACTGTCTAGGAAACCATTAACAGGGGTGAGAAGAGAATACAATATGTGACAACTTTTTATTTTGTTTTAAGAGGTACACATTAAAAATACATCTAACGTATGGGACACAAAGACTCTAAATAATGTTATTAAACTTCTGGTAGATGTGAATCTCCAGGGATGTTTACATATGCTTTTGAAGGAAACTGAAAAACATTAGATTTTGCAGTTCCAGGATTAATGCATCATTTTATTTTGTTCTGTTTAAAGAAATCTATGCAGAATTATTAAGTTACTCAAAATAAGCCCAAAATAGAAGACTGAGTTTTATAAACATTTTACATATTTGTGTTTAATTTGTTGAAAATAGTATAAAATCTGCTCACATTTGGCATCCCACATACAAATATTAGGAACCCGATCCCCTGATGCAGTATAATTTTTAACAGTATGATTTAACAGTCTTCCAGAGAGATATCATGCACTCTTTTATTTTAGAATGAGAAACTTTATTTTAGTATAGGAAAAATAATATGTGTGCACGTGTTTGTACCTTATGAACTGAACTACTGTGCGTTAGTTTCTGTGCACATCTGCATTCGCTGAAGAAGAAAAAAAACCCAAACAACAAAGTCCCACCAACAGAACTTGATTTGGAAATACATTTCCATAGTAGACACAAAAAATTAGGCTAGGAGATCGCAGTGCATAGAGGGTCTTTTACCTTTAAAATACAAACCTTCTATCTTCTAGAGGGTTAAATGCAGAGCTTTTAAATTGAGAAAATATGCAGTTCATGTGGAAGGTTTGATAGCACTATATACCCACCAAAAGCTTAAATGTGCCTGACTGGTTTTATGGAAGACAGTAAATTAGTCTTTCGTTTACCTTTGACAGGTGAGAAGCAGTTCTTGCATGACCGGTGGCTATCACCATACATCCACTACCACACAGGTAAGGCTTTCACTATCAAAATGATGACTGGTAAGAAAAACAAGATGTCTGTCTTGGTTATAAATTTAACTCTTCTATGATTAGTCTGGGCCAATTAGGACACCCCTGGGGTTCAAACTATGGCTCAAGTACAAGCTTGAAAGCCTGATTAGCTGAGGTCTCTTGATACTTGTTCTTGATAGTAAATGCTGGCACATATAGTATTGATTTTCATTTAGATATCTTAATGTTTCCAGACAATCCTAGCAGATGTGGGCTGAACTCAGATCTACGAGAGTGCTGGGCTGCAATCTGCAAGCATTTTTCTTGCCATTTTGTTTCATTTTTCCTAAACTTAACTGATTTGGAATCAGGAGATATAAATGAAAAATGCAGAGTTTGCCTATCAATCATGGCATGTACAAACATTGCTACTGCCCTTTTCTAACATCCTATTACCACTGGGTAGTTGGCTAGTCAAACAGGAATAAAAATTACACTGCAAACATCATAAGTTAGGCTTGATTTGTTGAGCAAGAAGCCTGACAATTCTGTAAGAGTTATATACCTCAGCCTCGCTGAAAATCAGCCTTGTTATGGCTCTGGTACGTCTATAAAGATTGTTCATTTCATATAAAACAGCTACCTGCACTGAAAGGCCTGAAAGGAAGAATGATGCTGGTTATAAATATAGAGGAAAATCTATTTGTCTGCCCCTTCGTGCTGTTAGCAAGTCACACGATGCAGCCCTTATGCTGTTCCTAGGCAGCAGGGGGAGTTTTCCATGGCCACCTTTTGCTTTCATCTTCTGGCCTGGACTGGAGCACATCATCTCTCTTTGTCATATGAGATAAAGCAATGAAGTGTGACCAGTGCCACTGCATTGCACTCTGCCCACCAGGAGCACGTTAATGATAATGAAAAACTATACTGCACCACATTTAAACTAAATGTGAGCGTAAGGCTGTCTGTCGGCAGACTGGTATAACAGTTAATGTCATAAAAGATAAATAGAAATTATTAGAATTGGCTTGGAAGGGATTTTTTATAGAGCAGGGTTGTATTCCTTTAAAGATACATTATCAGACTGTTAAATCTAATTTCAGACTACTGGGCAATTAAAATGATTAACATTCTTTACTCATATAGTTCGATTCATTAAAGTTTTAAACACCCTTTACACACTATTTATGTTGAAAATAGAGAAATAACATGTTAAAATGTCTTGGATCATTAATCATTCAAATTTGCTGTATAACTACTTTCTCAAAACCTTAGTACCACAATGAATATTTACAAACCTCAGAGGCATTTTTGAAAGGATGCACAAAACCAAATTCCACCCACCTCTGCTATGTCCAAGAGACCTTTGGTATTTCCCAGGCCCTTTGTGTTTGCAAGAAAAATCAGGCAGAAAATTCCTAAAAGGTTGTTTTAACTGTTATTCTACCCAGGGACTTGTACAAGTCGTAGCTGTCTTCACCTGGGGGCTTGCTCCCTCGTTGATATTTGAAGGTAACAGCATGGATGCTGTTACTGAAGCTAATAGGAACTCCAAGTATAAAGTTTTGTGTACAGAAATGAAAATATACTCTGAGTCTGGCACTTAGTTTTCAAGTGTGTCAGATGGAATTTTGTATTATCTACTGACAAGCCAGTTTATTAGATGGATGCAAGAAGAGATCTTCAGGCTAGTAAATGCTGCCATTAGTTAGAGGTGAAACACCCACTTCCCTTCTGTGTTGGCATTTGTAACAGCCTCTGAAGCACTGTGGGAAAAGTCATAAAAGTCAGTATACAGTACGTGACAAGACAATTATAAACCATATAATAATACTGGTCTTTTGAAAATATTTATAGGATTTTTAGCGGTTTGAAACACTGTTGTTTTTCTTTATTTTTTTATTCCTGCATCTACCGAAAGTGTCTGGGCCTTTTTGAAAGAAAGGCTGTAAATTACACTGAGCAGTTGGATATAATCTAGACCGTGGACCATCTTCTTGGAAGCCAGATTATTGTGTGTGCCTGTCCCTGGAAGCAACGGTAGAACTTGTGGCCCATGAACTGCCTCATATTGCACCAGGTAAGAGAGCTCGATATTTGCATGTCAGAAGTTCAAAGAAACACGCAGGGCTGCAGGAATTATGCTGCCTGTGTCAATGAATGTGCTGTTTCTCAGATAGGCCGTGGGCTAGATATGCTGAACAAGTGTGGTCATTACTCTTTCTGTAGCACTATTAGTAAGAGGACGAGGTAATTATAATTAGCCTCTTTGAAATCACCCAGGGGCTCAGCTGATATGTCAAAAATGGAGATGGTATTAAACAAGAAGATGCAGCTATATTTCCCCAGCTGGCAGCATAATCCTAGCACCAATACTGTATTTAGTATGCTAGGGTCTTCCACTTTGAGAACATCAAGGAGTATTCAGAATCTCTCCTAGACGCCTATTTTCAGGAGCCATGCACTCCCTGAGTAGACAGTGAAGAAGTGGCTTCTTAATTTAGGTGTTCTGGATTAGGCCCAGTTATTTTACAGATTTACAAAGAACACTGCCTCCTAATTTATTTGCTTCAACAGGATGCCCAAATTCAGTTAGAGACAACTGCAGTAATCCTAGGATCATTAGTAAATGATATACTGTTAACAAATGTGTGCCCAGTCAAGTGTCTTGTCTTCCAGTAAGATCTGAGAGTATGAGAGGGTCAGCTAGCTGTAGAGGATCCACACAACTGTTCGTGAAGAGACCATTTTTTACTTCTTTGATTTGCCAGTTTCTCCCTTCGTTCCAATACTCTTATTCTCTGTGTAAGACTGCCTGACATAACGAGTGGCGCTCTATGCAGAATCAAACCATGCTATTTTACAGTACCATGTGCTGTATCTGATGCAGTCCCAACTCTAGACAATAAAGGGAACTGTCAGCCTCTATCACCAAGGAAGTTTCTAATGCTATTCCATCATTCATTTCAAGAGCAACACGAGCAGGGACTTTCCCTTGAGAGACTGACAGCCGTTATCATTTCTGAGACACTATGAGCTTTTGCTGACTTTAGGGAACAGAAATCCCAGAGGTACTCCCGAATTTCATGTCAGTGTATGGTGCTCTAAGCCAGCCCACCAAACTGGCATACAGCTGCACTATACCACTGCAGAATAGGGCTGATAATTAACTGCTATTCAGATGAATATTAAGATCATACTACTTTCAAACAATTAATTTGCTTAACTTTTTCCTACCCCAAATCCAGATGGAGGGAGGCAAGGAGAAGAAATAGTCCCCTTAACTTGGACTGAGGTCACTGCTTGTCTTTTGGCGGCTGTCAGCTATGTCCTACATCTCTGTGTCTTATTCAGAAGCCTAGGACTTCAGCATACTCATGATCTCTCTGGTGTCACTGTGGCAGTCATGACTGCTGCCTCCTCCTCCCAAACCTTTCTTGTAAATTTGGATAAAAGAAGTTGGGGTGAGGGAGGGAATCCAAAGGGCTGAGAAGGACTTCCCTATTCATATTGGAGTAGGGGGAATAGGAAATACTCCTATTGCATTCATTTTATACACCAGAAAATTTTCCATCATTTTGATTTGTGACAGAGTGTTGGCCTTCAAGTTGACCTAGCTGTGTTTGGTCACACAGTATTAGTATCGATTCTGATGCCCCGAGTACCTTTGCCTAAGCCTAGCTTTTCTGGGGGTTATTGGACTTGTTTCCCCATGGGGCTGTGGATGAGTTCTACTCAGATGATCAGTCAGAAGAATGTACTTGAGCTGAAAACATAAACCCAGAATACCAGAAAACCTCACAGATATCAGTGAAATACAGAATACAAAACCTAGTCCAGGTCTCTGCCTTTCCTATTTTGCTAATAATCAAAATTACATTACATGGGAATGACTTTTATTGTTGATATATCTGGGAAATTATTTTTCCTTTGAGTTTTTTAGACTTCTTATACCTCCCATTGATTTTGATTATTTACTGTTTGACAAGGGGAACACAGCAGCCCATGCTGTGCGAAAGATCAGAGGTGCCTTCATTCCTCAAGGCTATTGCCTTCTTTAATTCTTCAGTGTAGGATCAGTGAACTGATTGCATTTTCTTCTATTTGACACTTTATATTTCACATTTCTTCATCAAACTATTGTAACATGGTCTCTTTTAGAGCAAGCTGCTCTGAGAATATAGCCTTTTTGTCTTGGCCATTGTTATAACCCTTTGGTGACTTGTAACAGCAGCTTTCAGCCACTGTCCTGATTAATCATCTTTCAGTTAAACTGGATGGAGTTGAGTATCTTGTTAATCCACTTTCTGTGCTTTTCTTTTATTGGTGTTATAGGTATTTCATATTTAATCACAGAATGATGTGACTTGAGGGCAGTTGTTCTTTGATTTTTTTTCTTCAACCAGGATAGTCTTACAGGCCTAAGGGGATATTTTTTAGCTGCAAAGACTGTATGCCAAATCTGGAAGTACAAAGCAAGGATCAAATATTTGCAAATACAAACAAATAAATGCACAATCTATTTGGGCATGTAGTTATGTGTGTGCATTTTTGACAAACAGCTCCTTGGACAGATATGTTTTACAATGGTGGGAAAGAAGCCAAAGGATACGAGTGTTTAGAGTCTTGCTAATTTTGAAGGGATCCATTTTCTATTAGAAAATAGTTACTATAAGTATCCAAAATAGAAAAAAACAGAAGTTAGTGCTGTCAAACCTGACTTTAGGTCATAGTTTCAAATATTTTGATCAAATACGCTTCTTCGTCCTTTTCTCTGTTATAAGATATTCTATATAGTTTATATTTTCAGTGACTAATGTTTGTGCTGTGAGTCCCTGTTGATGAAAACTTGGGTGATGTTAGATCAAAGTCTCCAGTAATTTCATAATTTCTTTATGAAGAAATGCTTATTTTCAACTGTAGTTGGCATCAGTCTAAATGAATCAGTAAAATGGGATGATCTCAGCTCATATAAATAATAGCAGCCTTCTCCTGTTAGAAATGCTTTTCTTCTGGAAAAGCCAGTTGTCCCACATTAATGCATTTCTAATCAAAAACACTAAGCCCCATATGGTATTTTTTAACACATTTGAGAACCCTGGTTAAGACAGAGTTCTAAATGTACTGGAAACCAAAGTTCATTGTTGTTCAACACTCAAGAGAATATACAGAGTATACCCTTGTATTTCTGCGTTATCCTGCTTATTAGTTTATAGTACTGGGTCTTATTCTCTTTCCCCCTCTACTTTTTGTGCAATGGCCTTCATTTTACCATATTACAAGTTTTATCCTCTCTATCCCTCTTAAACATAATGAACATCAGAAAAGGTCCCTGAGGCATAAACAAAACCCAATAGGGGAACATCCCAGAATGCTGGGGGATAGTGAGGAAGGAAGTCCACAATAGTTCAGCCTAACAAAATACTAGAGCTCAAGATAGAATTTGCCTATAGAAATGCTGCTTGAAAAGAATTTGTTCACATTTTTGTGAGGAAAAAAAAATATCTTAAGATACACTTTTATATTTTGGTTTCTGTTTATTGTTCAGAACAATGACATCTACTTCCTCTGAGGCATCATTAGTTGATTTGCCGAAGTCTCATATCATGGTGTGTAAGGTGGAAAATAAACATGAATTTCTAGAGTCAATATTGCATATTACCTTAAATTTCTCATGCTGTGGAGGTCCTTCAAAATCTAAGTGCATCAAGAAAACCCTACATTTAAGGTTTAACTCTGAATTTTTACTAGTTTAAAGCAGATCTTTTAGCACAAGTTGTGCTAGAATACACAATTAAAATAAAATAACGTGGTCTTTTCTAAAATTTACATTGCAGAATCATATAAGAATGTAGATTGGAAGGTCAGCTAGTCTAATCACCTGCCAAAGCAGGTCCAACTATGTGAGGTTGCTCTGGACCATGTCCAGTTCAGTTTTGCATGTCTTTAAGGATAGACATTGCACAGCCTCGCTGGGCCCTTGTTTAAGTATTTGACAACGCTGTTGTTAAGTAAGTAAGTAAGTAAATAAATAATCTAATAGCATTTTCCCATGGTGCAACTTGTGTTGCAGGTATGTGGAAGCCTGCGGGTAGACTTCCGAAGTAAAAGCCAAGTCAAAAACGTTTAGTACCTCGAACCCCTCTTTGTCACTAAGTCTCCTGTGCGCTTTGATCAACGGACCCACGTTTTCTTTAGCCTTCCTCTTGTTACCATTGTACTTAAGGAAACCCCTTCCTGTTCTTTCTAACATCCCTCACTAGTCTTAGTTTGACTTTCCTAATTCCATCCCTACATCCCATGCAATGTCTCTGCATGGTAGCCTGTTCCCACCCTCACCTTCTGTGTATTTCCTTTCCATATCAGCAGAAGTTCTTAATTCATTCATGCTGGCCTTCAAATGCACTTTCTCAGATTCCTGCATGTTGGAATGGACTGCTCTGGGCTTTGAGGAGGTTTTACGTGACAAAAAAATTTCATGGGCAGGGAGGGGGGAGGGTGAGAAAATAAATATTTTTTTTCCCACTTCTGGCCTGGCAATTACAAGGGAAGCAAATATATTTTTGTGTATATGTTAGGAAGCAAAACTGCCCTTAATGGCAAATTTGGCAACAGAAGGACAAATGAAAGGGAATGGGGTCTGGTAATGAAAGGGTTTAATTTCAGCATGCAAAATTTGGAGCTTGAGAAAAACTGAGATAAAATGATTGAACTCTATGTTGAGGATCTATAGTTCAACAATTCTTCCTAGCAGGAACAGGCCTTGTATAGAGAGACTGTTTAACTGACAAACTGTTTGGTGTTAGTTCTTTATGTTGAACATCTTCAGAATTTTTACATTTATTTTTAATCAGAAGATTGTAAGGCAAAATTAATCGCTGGCCACTACACACTGCTTTTTGACAGAACTGTATCCATTTAGGTGGAGGACAGAGCTTACCCTCTTTCTGGGTAAGCTCTGTACAACCTTTAAATGGGCTAAAACATGCAGGATAGAATAAGATCTTATCAGAGGCACACTTAGAAAGAAGTACCTATCTGAAATTATTGCTCAGCACACCTGGAGTCTCTTTCAACTCA